TCTGAAAGACCGTGTAAAAACTGGATCAGTTGTATCCAAATCAGGATCAAGCAGACCAAAAGTGAGCACAACATCAGAAAATCAACACATCAAGATTTGTCCATTGAGAGGTACAAAATCAGCATCATCACAGATACAGAATTAACTAAATAAAAAAAAACAAGAGTCCACTCAGCAGAAATCCCATTAAAAGAACAACTGTTTAGTAGTGGTCTGAGAGGAAGAGGAGTGTCTCTAAACCACTTTTCAGTGAGAGAAAAAATCATGTTTACTGATAAATTCCAGTTAGAGATAAGCTGAGATAATGTTTAACTACTCTGGAGTTGGCCAGGAAACATACTCTGCAGCAGTCCATTCTTTGGAGACATGTTCTACCTTGTGGTCTGCATTTTTATGAAGACGGACTGATATTGCAGCAGGATAATGAGCCCCAACACACCTCAAAACTTTGACCAAAGAAGACCAAGAAGTGCTGACTGTCATGGACTTTCCTCTACAGTCCCCTGGCCTCAACCCCACCGAACATGTAAAGACCTTTTGAAGGCTGAGAAAGTTAAACATTGCTGACATGACAAGAAGCTCTGGCACATTGTCGAACAAACGTGTGGAGTTCAAACCACCCGAAAGGAGAAGATATTCTAAAATTGATGTGCATTTTTCACAGATTTACCGTTTTACTCAAATTGTTAAGTTGATCTAATTTTGAATGGAACATTTTGTAAAACATTTAAAACAAGTTATAACAAATTATTCACACTCACTAAGTGGTCTCAGACTCTTGGATCCCTCCATATCTGATCAAAGCAGATGTTAACAACATTATTAATCTTGTCAGCTTTTAGTACTTGACAGTTTTCAATTCGGTCAGTGCTGATAAATATTATTTGGTACTATTACAAGGAGAGAACGGAGGTTTGATACCCTGCCCCTGGTGCACTTATAGGGCAGGTATGAATGGAGGGGATTTATGGCTGTTTTGATCTAGCACAGTATTGTATCTATGTGTGTCCAGTGTCTCTTGGAAACTACTACAAAGGCATTTTAAAATTTAATTATTCAAGTCGTAAACAAGGCTGCATTTTCACAGTGACGGTCACTTTACATACTTGCTGAGATCTCAGCCACAGTGTTGCCAAACTGTGCACTGTTTACACTGTCAGCACTTCACTGAGACAGACAGTGTATATCAAAGATGACTTTGGGGTAACTCACTCATACGGGGTAGCCATTTCCTTCCAGACACCTCACTGCCTTTGCCTATGACTGTGTCTATGTGCTTTGTAAGAACCCATTGTGATATAGTAAGCTGCCAAGTATTTAAGCTTAATTAGTGACTTTCAAATAAAGTTACTTTTTCAGTTTGTGAATTACATGTACCCTCACTTTATTACACTATTCTCTGATGCCATTTCCAGTTTCTGGTTCCAGTTGTCAGTGAACAGAAGTCACTTGGGTAAGTTATGCACAAACAAATTTAGTGTGAAAGTGTTTCTTTCGGTGACATTGGAAGATGGAATGGACTGTCACAGAGAGGTGGGAGATACAATTTTGTTTAAATATGGGACTAACAGCACACCTTTTCAAACAGTCTCTCCTTGAGGACATTCATAGCCATATTGTCGCACCCAGCTTTTCACATGAAAAGTTAAAGAAAAATGTGTTTCACGAATGAAAAGAAGAGCTGAAATAGACATTTCTCTCCTCTGTACAGTAGCCCAGTCACTGTGGGGGTGAATGTGAGTTTGGGTGTCATGGTTCCAATGCATTTTTTGAAGTTGGTGTTCCAGTGGAAATGTGGTGTTATGTTGCTGTATAAGACTATGATACCCTTTTGAAATAAAATTTTTGTTTTTGGTTTTGAAAGATGAATTGATAAAACTTGGCAGTATTTCTAAAGTTTCTAAACATCTAAAAGTTGTAACTTCACTGTTCTACTTTGGTACTTGGGAATCTGTCCTGCTGCTTTTTCTCATATTCTGCACTAATGATGTCCTTTTGGTTGCAGCGACAAGGTCTTTTTTTTTTTTTTTTTTTTAAACACATAGTGTCTCAAAATTAAATGGCAAATTATGAAACGTTTGCTGGCAAAATTGTCACATTGACATTATAATATCATCAATGTAGGTTGCAATTTAAAACTGCCCTACACCTACAACTAATTATGTGAATTAGGTTTCACAACATGAAAGGTTTAGATAGCTGTGGATGTAACTAAATATTGGTATTTAGTGGTCTACAATGTGTGACATTGCTTGTTAAAATTATTGAATCTACTTAAACAGATGAAAACATGAGAAAATCCATCTCAAGTGTCCTACATGGAATGACAGCTTGCAGTATTTCAGCAGTTTAACAAAAGGATGCATTCTGGTAACAGCACCATCTAGTGGTTATGGTAATAATGATGAAAGTGAAGGTGAGTCAACAGTCATTTCCAACCAACAGTCAATGTTGTTATTTTAAACCATGGTAACCATGTGTTTACTGTTGTTATCATGGTGTTGCAGCTCTTTCAACAGGCTTATCGGACATCAGTGACAGTAATCAAGATGCTTAGCTTTTTGAAGAATATGTCCTCATCTGGGGCTGCAAGGTGGTGCGGTGGTTAGCACCGTTGCCTAGCAGCAAGACGTTTGCTGGTTTGCATCCTGGTGAGGACACCCGGGACTTTCTGTGGGACTTTGCAGGTTTTCCCCCTGCAGCGTGGGTTCTCCCCGGGTTCTCCGGCTTCCTCCTACAGTCAGTCAGTGATTCTAAATTGTCCTTAGGTGTGAATATGAGTGTGCTTGGTTGTCTGTCTTTCTGTGTAGCCCTGTGATAGACTGGTGACCTGTCCAGGGTGTCCCCTGCCTTCACCATAAGTCAGCTGGGAGAGGCTCCAGCCCCCCGCGACCCTAGTGAGGATGAAGCGATGTATAGATAATGGATGGATGTCCTCATCTGTATCAGGTTACGAAGTAGCAGGTTGGCACATGATGGAGGATGGAAAGCTATGACTCCGTCTTAACATAAATGGAATAATAAACCTTTAAAGTTGGCAATGTATTATTTTAGAGGCATCTGTTGTTTAATATGAGTTCAGGCATAGAAAAGTAACTTCCTCTCTCATCTTACCAGTTGACTGTATGTTGTTATAAGTGCTTTTCTTAAGATGAGCTAAGTTACAAGACTTAAGAAAGCCACCATCACAATCATGCAGCCCTCTTGCATTAGATTTGAGCTCAAGACTGCATCCGCATGAATAATTATAGGTGCTTACTCTATGCAAACAGTCAATTTGACATGAATGCAGATAAGCATATGTGGCCTGTAGTTAGCACAGGCTACATATTTAATTAGAAGCTATAAACTTTTTTTCCCCACAATGCTTTCCACTCATTTTACAACAAGACCAAATACACTCTAAATGATCCTTAGGCTCTATGATGAAACAGGTATGATTGCTTTTTGCAATACAAAGACTAATAATGCACATTCAATATTATTTAAGATACCCTCGAAAGATAAAGATAAAGATAAAGTTTATTGATCCCAGTGGGGAAAGTTCACCGTTACAACAGCTCCAAAGGAAAAAAGTGTACAGTCAGTGCAAGAATAATTTAGAAACACCCAGTGCAAATTGTAGGAAATAGAAACAGAAACACACAGTGCAAATTGTAGGAAATAGAAACAGAAACACACAGTGCAAAAATTGCAAGAGAAAAAACATATACAGAAGATTTTTTTATGTTTTTTTTTTTAAGAAGACTACACAAGATGAGGTAGTAAATGGTTATTGCACATGGTGGAATGGGTTTGCTGGTGGAAAATAAGTGCCAGAGGTGCCAGTGGAATTTATAATGCAGCATTGTAAACTCTCATATACATAACCATGACAATAACAATGAACTCTTGCCACAGATACAATAGCTGGCATTTTAATGTAGTAAACTCCAAATCTGGTGAACAGTGGCTTTCAGTGACTGTTGCATTTGTGCACCAGTTGTTACGAGAGTAGCTGCACAGCCCTCCTCCTCTGCTCTTACAGGAGCACGTGATCTCTTGGTCAGGGAGCACCGTGTGAAGCCAACTCTCTGTTATCACCATATCAAAGCGGTTCTCTACAGATTTTTATGGCTCGATGAACAACATTCCGTCCCGTTTTAGCACGTTTTTTTTTTTTTTTAAATATTGTACTGTGTAATGTTTTTAGGTCGAAAAAGAAAGGCTGCATTGACGAGAACTTGGGAGAAGTGTTTTCCACACTAGACCTCCCCGGAAACACTGAAGACATGGAATGTGGAAACACTTTTATCGTCAAAACATGTAGGATTTTTCTGTGTGAAATAGCTTTAACTAAACATGTTAGGACTGAGAAATTATTGTTTGTTAAAATGTATATTAATTGTTAAAATTTGTATTAATTTTACCAGTGTCAACAAACAAAACTATCGATACTGGGAATATAGTTTAAGAAATTAAAAAAAAAACAAAAAACAGAAAAAACAGAAAAATAAAGCAAATGTGAATTAAAGTATTTCTTTACGTATATAGTACAGTTAACAAAAAAATACAACTAGTTAGTATTTATCTATAAAAAATAATTTATAATAGGGTCATTAACATAGACAATATACAGTAAATATACAGTAAATAGTCATGCGGCAAAAAAGAAAAAAAAATCCCTTTTATTCCTTTTTGTTCCGCCGCTTTAACGGAGACAACTGATACGGTGAAACAAATGTAGGCTCAGCCATTAACGGCACTGTCAGGCAACGCTTGTTATAACTGCCGGGACGCTCAGGTTTATCAAACGGAGGTCGTCCCTTACAATCTGAAAAGTATGCTGGAAATAGACCCCGCCCGCTCCGAAGAGTTCCGGCATATGTCGGCCACACTTAACAAATGAACCCAAAAGTTGAAACTGAAATAACGCATTGCGTCGAGCTCCGCCATTGGCCAGTAAAACTCAACGTGCAATTTTTAAGCCGCCATGTTAGGAAGCCAAACCCCTCTTTCATTCGGTTGAGAGAAGGCTGGGCTTACTTTCTGAATAGTTTTTGGAAGTACCGGTTGTTGTTGATCCCTTGAATCCAAACGATACACTCCCACAAGCGCCATCTAGGTTCGCTTTGATTCCTACGTTCTTTGTCAGCTCTCTTTTACAATGGCGACCGCGGCTGCAACTCCCTCCAGCCAGAGAAGCACGTGCAGCAGCGGCGGCGGCACACCGCTGAGTCCGACCAGGATAACGAGACTGCAGGAGAAACAACAGCTCCGGGATCTCAACGACCGCCTCGCTGTTTACATAGACAAAGTCCGTAGTTTAGAGTCGGAAAACGACATACTCCACCGGAAAATTAGCGAGAAGGAAGACGTGAGGAGTCGGGAGTTAACCGGCCTGAAAGCACTGTATGAGACTGAGCTAGCCGACGCCAGAAGGAGTTTGGATGATTCCTCCAAGGAGCGGGCCTGGCTACAGATTGAGCTGGGAAAGATCAAATCCGACCATGAGCAGCTTCTGCAGAAGTAAGCCTCTAACACTTTAATCAAGTTATTCGGTCTAATACGAACAGGAACCAATTGTTACTAGCAAAATGCTATATGCTAACTTTGATTTTCGAGCCATTTTTACGGCAACATTACGCACGGAAGGGGTTTACGTTTCCTGCCTGGTTAGAGCGTCATTCAGACTCAGCATATAAACCGTATTTTAAAAATACTTTTAGATTTGTTGTCTTTTAGTTTGGTTTTTGCTCACTGGGATCAATCTTAAATTCAATGTATTTATAATCAGTATACGTTTTAAAATACTGAAATTAATAATGGGAAATAATTCAGGGCTCCAAACTGTGACCAAAATGTTCTCATATGTGACCTTTTTTTTTTTTTAATCAAAATTTCACGTGGTGGCATTGTGAGAGTGAATAATGATCAGGCTGATCTGGTTCCATCCGTCAGCACAGGTAGCTGCTGCACAAGATGTTGTGTTTGGAAATATGTCTTCCACATTGACTCAGTCCCTCTCTGTCTGACGGGAAACAAAACAAGTGAGAGGAGGAGAGGGAGAGGTCCGACACACCTGATGATAAAAGTGTTCAGGTGCAGGCAGACAGATCTGGAGTCAGTTAGGAAGACAAAGTATCCCCACATTCAATCTTTAGGGTTCCAATTTTAACAGTGATCACAGTTTTGACTCTATAAATATGATCACCAGTGATATGCACATTTAAAATGCATTCAGCTCGTATAAAAGTCCGTTCATAAAAAGCTCTGCTAAGAGAAAACTTTTCAACGTGGGCAAACTTGTGTAGAAAGCGCTTTCCACTGTTTTCCAACAAATGTCTGGTCGCTCACCTGTCAGAGGAGCTGCACTGCAGCTGCCTGGTAGCATCTATCAGAGCAGCATGTGAGACGTTTAAGGAACATCGGTAAAATGTAGCACACATGTTCAGCAATTGTTTAGCCTGTGCCCAGTTAATGAGTGATATCAGAAAAGGACTGATGACAAAATAAATAGATTTTCAGGATAAAACATTTTACAAATATCAAGTCTTGTATCACTGAAAATCATTGCAACTTAACTAAGTTATGCCAAAACAACTATTAATCAGCTGCACAGTGCATTAACAGCTGTGGCAATGCAGATCCAAAATAAGGGGGTGGGGTGACCAAATCTTTAGCTGTGGCAAGTAACAGACAGTTGGTAGCACCAGTTGGAAAAGTTAGTGTGGAGCCCTGTAATTGACAGTGGCAGCTAGCCACCCACATTGTCTTAGTTGCTGCATGTAAATAGCTGTAAAACCGGTTTAATAAATCTCAACTGTTATTGTGTATTATGCAGTTTAAAAAAACAAAACAAAAAGAATGACTAACCATTAAAACATAATTTATCTCAAACACCCAAGAGTAACCCTTGTTGAAAGTCACGTGGTGCATTTAGGGCCCTCTGGTAGTATTTGTTTAAGATGGAGCATAAACACTGCCTTAGTATGGAATATTTCAACCCACAATCACTGAGTGTGGAGGAAATAATGCATTGGACAAATGATCATTTCAGTATCTATCCTGTAATTACCAAACAGTGCGTCCCATACATCTTGCAGAACTTGACAGCAGCAACTGTTCAACAGCTGTTGACCTCATGTGCATGAATAGACAATGTGGAGTGTTTCCCTCTGAGTGTGGTGATTCTGCTCTGTTTTCAGGAGTAGACTACCCTTTATTTGAACTGTGTAAGGAGGGAAGGAAAGGAAGGAAATATGTTAATAGAATTTTTTATTTATTTATTTTTTTTTACTAAATGAACATGAAGCAGTATTACCTCTCACTGCTGTGTATTTTCATGCTGCTTTGGATGCATGTAACACCAAAGTAACTGAAAACAACTTTGACTTCATCAGTGTGTGAAATCCCACACAGGATGGGAATAAGTCTGATGCAGAATATTGGTAACAGAATATTGTGCATTCGTTGAACAGAACAAGTATTATGTGTGTGGTCATGAACTCTTGACAACAGAATACATGTGGCAGTGACGGCCTGCTGCGTTTGAATGGGGTGACCGATTAGTCGACTTTATCTTGATTTTTTTAACATGTCTTTCATCTCCTTTGTGACATTGTAACTTGATTGTGTCGTCTTTACTTTACCAGTATTGTAGCTACTACCTGTAATGTTTCCCAGGTAAAAATCACAGTAAAGTTGACAGGGAGTGTGACATGTCTTAAATAGTTCAGCTTTGGTGGTGAGCAGGAGTAGTGTAATGGTGCACAAAGTACTCATTACATACCCTGGTTTTGGTACGTTTTTGGGCACTGATGGAATCCCCAAGGAAACCATGAATTTTAAATTTCTTAAAGTTACTGTAGCCAAAAGCGCCTGAGACCACATGTGGTGCTGCCCTGGGTTTTCAGACCTATATATAATTTGACTTCAGTGCATTTTTGGTTTTCTTCCACTTAAATACCTTGTTTAAAATGCTACAGGAAAGCTCATCTAGGGTGTGCTCATGTCAGGTATGCGAGGGGTCTTTTAACCCTGTTAACAACACATATATCAGTAGACTGTTTTTTAATATGCTACAACACATGTATGAGCGAAATAAACAGCCAATACCATGGCTGAGCTTTTCCACCCTGAACCTGCAGTGTACTGGTGACCCATTTTGACAACGTTGATTCAGACTTACATGTTTTCATATGTAACAAACCTAAGGAGCAAATCCTGTCAATTTGCAGAAAGGCGCTGTCTGTATTAGTCTTGTTCAGATTTTGTTTCCAGTTCAAACATGTATGGCTGAGCTACTACATTATTCCTGCTTCTTTTATATTTTGACAATCTGAAACATGATCTGACCCATGACCCAAAGCCATGATGTGGTTTATACTGTGGTTGTTTATTTTGTTTGATCATTAATTGGAGTTGTTAGTCGGTTTTCAGGAAGCAAGCAAACATATAAAAGCTTGCACAACAGATTTCTAAACCATTTCTCTGGTTTGGACCCTGATTATGAGGCGACATCCTCTGATGAGAATGAGACCCTCAGTGTTGACCTTCCTGTTGTCACTCAACCACCAGCAAACACACTGCCTTTCAAAAATGGAAAGTTATGTTCCAAATCCTCACTTGAACAACAGGGTAAATTTTGTGGTGCTAATGTCTTTAGAAATGGTTCCAGGCCCCACCTGATATGCTGTCAGCCATATTTAAGACATAGAATCAGCATTTATTTAAAGGGCTATATAGGTGGTCGACAAACAAACCTAAAGTACCTGAAACATAAACTTGGGTAACGGTTTTAATTATATTTTCTGGAGGTTTAAATTGCTGGGGTCAAACTGACCCCACGCATAGAAGATGTTGGTACATTTGGAGGTAATAGGTAGGGCTGAGATCAAAATTGATATCCCGATTCCAGCACAGTGAACGAACAGTCGGCTATTCGGGTCCAGCCCTAGTAATAGGAGGGTTAAAACAACTTTAAAAATACCAAGCTTTTTTAGGACAAGTTGTTTTTTGAGTCTACTGCTGTAATTGAACATGCACTTTCTGATAACACTGTATGGTAACTCATGGTTTTAATAGAGTCTCAGGTATTTTTCATGTACTGCTGTGGTCTTGCTGAGAATGTTCATGTGATGTGAGAATCTTTTGGGTCAGTGGTTTGCCCTGCCAACAAATGTTTCTCAGTAAAATGTGAGAAAGCGGACATACCACACTGCATTCCACTCATAGTTTGCCCCCTTTACAGCAGACCTGTTGTAATTCTTAGAGACACCATGAGGAAATGACTGCTTTGTCCCAGCAGATGTGCTTGACCACTTTACTCACAAACTTACTGAAACATTTCATTGTTGACTTAACCCCTTTCAGCACTCCTTTTAGCTTGACTGCATCTGAACTAACCACATGTCTACATGAGAACCCTGGTCGCTGTTCTGTAAAAGTCATTATAGCAGTCTTGTAGGTCAAACCTAACATTTCTAATATCATTTTCAACACAGCACAAGTCTGAAATGCACACCGTCACATTAATGGATAGACATACACAAGCAAAGTGCCGAGAGTGGTGTAAAGTGATTTGAGGAATGCTTTTTCGACATTTCAGCACTAGTATTGGTTTAAAATCAACACAAGAGCCCGAAAGATGCAGTTTGCATCCCGAATCGCAAAACACTTTTGCCATTCGCGTTGCTCCACAAGTTCACATTTATTACAGGCTGAAATGTCCATAGAAATAAAACTTTACTGCTGTGAAGACGGTCTGCGACAACTCATATGGATGAGACTCGACAATAAGAAATGTAATCCAGGTTTCTACAAAACTGAAATAGGAGTTGAGGTTTCGTTTGTTGCTTTGTCTTTTCCCTGGGTTTATTTAAACCTAGTTTATTTAAATCATATCTAAACTATTCTATTATTTGGACATTTTTCTAAGCTACTGTTGGTTTACATTAGGCATTTTGTTTATCATTACATTATAATGCTTTATACGTTACTTAATTTACTGTCCAATCATGTGTATGGCAACAGTTGCGTGTCACTGGATGTGTCTGAATAAAGCTGTGAGGAACATTAGGGTAAAAGTAACCCAAGTCTGAATGACAGAATATTGTCATTTTTAACAGATTGATGACACAGTAATGTTGCAATGTATCCTATGTCTGAAAAGGGCTTTAGTTGACCCGGGCTCAGAACTGGTAAACAGATGTCCACTGTGCTTCTGAAAGTGAAGTCTGTGGTTCACATTTCTATTTTATGTTGTTTAAAATACTTTTTCCTTTTTGCTTGGGGCCACTTGGGGTCAACCTAGGCCAAGCAGGCTACAGGTTTTTCAAAACACTGCCAGAAACAATGGTTATATTTTTGGTTAGTCAGTTTTCCTCCAATTATCTTGTGCCGAGATCAGCAGTAAACTTGGTCCATAAGACCCCAGACTATGAGAAAGTAGTCCATGCTTATCAGTAATTACACCAAGCAACGGTACTCAGATTTGGTCGTGACTTACTTCAGTCAAGCAAACAGTAATGCCATCATGTCTGAGCAATCATAGTCAGAGAGAGAGCGTAAAAATACATTGAAATGATGTCTTACTGATTAAAAAATTGAATTACCTGGCAACTAATGTAGTCAACAGTTTTTGCTGGCAATGTCAATTATATGTTTTATTTGCATACTGGTTTAGAAAGGTACAGTGTAAAGGGAAAACAAGCTAGAGGCAAAATTGAGGTGTGGTCAGCAGTTTAGATAGGCCAACACTGGACTACAAACTCAAATTGCATTTTTATATTCAATTCAATTTCATTTATATAGCGCAATTCACAGCATATGTCATCTTATAGCATTTAACGTAGTAAGGTATAAACCTTACAAGTTTGAACAGAGAACCCAACAATCCAAAGTTGCCTTTGGACTCTATCTGAGCAAGCAGTCGGTGATATGTGCCTCTTGGCAACCCTGTGCTGTCAGATGTCCTCCATCTCAATAACAGTGGACTTCATCTATCATCCTTTTTTACTCATTTGTACCTGCCATTCAAGGATTTGCTTTTAGGTCAATAAACATGTTTTAGACTGTGCAGGTATAAATTAGGCCTGTAGTAGCCTTTGGGTTTTTACCCCCTTCAGCACTCACACCATTTCACACTGTCATACACATGCACTCACCATGTCTTGTCATCCACCCTCCAGCTACAGCAAGAGGGACTCTGAGGCAGCAGCAGCCCAGGCCAGGCTGAAGGACTTGGAAGCTCAACTTAATTCTAAGGAGGCCATGCTGGCTACTGCACTCTCTGAAAAGAGGGGCCTGGAAGCCACCCTGGCTGACCTGGGAGAACAGCTTCAGGAGGTAAAGCACTGCCATAGCATAAATGTGATGATGCATTTTTCCTTTTCCTTTGAAAGGGAATTTTCCATACATCTACGCTTATTTTCCAAGCATATCCTGTGTTTGTGTGTCGTCAGCTTGATACAGGTCTTGCCCAGGCAAAGAAACAGCTTGCAGATGAGATGCTCCTGCGCATTGACTTGGAAAATCGTTGCCAGAGTCTGACTGAGGAAATGGACTTCCGAAAGGGCATGCATGAGGAGGTGAGCATTTGACTGTTTATTTGGTCACAGTAGACAAAACTCTGGCGCTGACTGGATAGCATATGACTGTATAGCCAATTCTAACCCAATATAGTTTTTGTCTGGTTCAGTTAATGTATCCTCAAGGCCAGTAAGCTGTCCATCCTGTATGTGCGCTGAAAAGTCAAGTTCATTTTATTTGTATAGCGCAGTTTACAACATATGCCATCTCACAGCGCTTAACATGGTAAGGTACAGACTTTATAAATTTAAACGGAGAACCCAGGCTCAGGGAAGACAGCCATCTGCCTCGACCGGTTGGGTGAGAGTGGGGATGGGGATGGGGATGGGGAGGGGTGGGGGGAGGAAGATGGCAGATTAAAAAAACAAAAAATCCAGTGTTCGTACACAGCCCCGGCTGTGTAAATGGGAAACAAAGACAAAGTAAGATGGGGGAAGGGAGATGGGAGTGCTGGGGATGGCAAATCTGACACATACTAAGTTTTTAAATAGAAACTTCTGTTGCTGCATTTTTCACCTGGTTGCCAGTTTATTTGGATCATGACAGATCCTACAAGGTGTGCACTCCCAGCTGCACACCCTCTCCACAAGTGATTAATTTGTTTGCCGTAGAGTGCAATTCCTCTCCTAGCTTCTCTGCTGGAGATGTGTCTGTCCACCTAGACCACCTGAGAATCACACAGAGGGGTGCGCAGACCTAGACCAGACTGCTTGGAGTGGAGTTTGGTGGGGACGATGGTCATTCATTTTTATATGGTCCATAGAAAATCCATTTTGAAATTAAATGAAAGGGTATACTGAATTGCTGTTGTTTTTATATGAACTGACTGCTGGTGTGAAGCATACAAGTGGCTGGAGCAGCTGAGTTGATTTTATTGAGTTTCCTCTCAGAAACCGATCCCTTTCCATGGCATACAGTATGTAGTCTGCTGGGTGGGACACATTATTTGATCACATTGATCAGCTGTTTGACCGGAGCACACACTGAGCTGAAGTCACTCAATCACACTAGTTTGATTCTTTGTGTATCCACTGTCAACCGTCCTGCTGTGAGTCTTAACAAAGGTTACAATAACCAGTTTTTGTTGACACTGTTTCAGACAAGTTTGGATTCTCAACTTGATCATTTTGAAGGCTGTAGTTTGTGCTGCTTTTGAACTGTCTTTTACAGAAAGGTGTTTCTCCTGTTTAGCACGACTTCACAAATTTAAATGAAGTGCACAAAACAGTACAAAACCGAAGCACCTCCAAAATTATCACAGAGTTGAATTAACAAAAACTAGACATTGTAGCTAGGTATATTTGATAAACAGGAAACTGTCTGTCTAGTTTTGCTTATTAAAAAAAGGCACAGTCATTTTCTGTGGGTTCTTTCTCGCCTACAACAAACTAGGTTTGCCCAAGTTAGGGAGGTTTGTCTGTGTTGGTGATCGAATGCTGGTACAAAACAAGCATCTAGTGGTCATAGTCTGGTCCCAAGCTGACTTTTATGAGGGTTGTTTGTGATCTGTAAGCAAACCGAACAAACCGGGGAGGGCTAATAGATGTGAGACGGACCTGCTGTCAGTCAACAGAATTATTTTTTCCCTGCTGGTCCTTTTATGATGTGCGCAATAATACAGAATGGCATCACAAACATTCAAATCAGTGAGTTGTCTGTCAGTCTGCGTGACTTGTGATGTTGTTTGGTTTGTTTGAATAGACAAGGACAAGAATGCGATATCAGGATGTCCATATACAGTATTTATTCTCTGGGTGGATTCCTTTTTAATTTTGCCCAGTAATGCCTTTTTCTGACAAGAGAAATCTGGACCAACACTAGAATTATCCTTTTAACATCAGATAGAACTGATCGGATAGAAATGTTATTTTTGATTAAGTAGTTGAATCACTTTGCTTTTATTTTTTAGATTTTATTTTAGTGCAACCTTACAAGATTGACAAGCTCAAACCCAAGAATGCTGTCTGATAAATGACTGTGTGCTGTGCTACAGGAAGTGAAAGAGGCTCGACAACGGTACGAGACCCGACTGGTGGAGGTGGATTCTGGACACAAGGAAGAGTATGAATATAAACTGTCTCAGGCCCTGACTGATATGAGGGCTCAGAATGAGGAGCAGATCAAGATCTACAAGGACAACATGGAGAGCACCTACGGAGCCAAAGTATGAGCACTCACGCACTCACTCACTCACTCACTCACTCACTCACTCACTCACTCACTCACTCACTCACTCACTCACTCACTCTCACACTCACTCTCACACTCACTCTCACACTCACTCTCACACTCACTCTCACACTCACTCTCACACTCTCTCACTCACTCTCACTCACAAAAAACCCTCAAATGAAGTGATGATGATTGTTTGGCAGGAGACAGGTGGTACTGACACCATAATAAACACAAACTGGGTTATTGCTAAATATTGTCAGATGCTCTCTGCAGTATTTTTTAATATACTTGTACACAGTTTTGTAAATAAGCTGCTTTAGCAGTCAAGCAAAGCTGTGCGTACCCCATAAAAGGAAGCAAACAACACCGTTGCAACACTTGACTGCGTGTCAGGAAGTGACTGACACTGCTCAGTTTCTCTTTCAGGGTGTTAAGAGACGGAAACATTGGTAATACTGCAGAAACTTAAACCATCCGTGTGTTTATCTCCAGCTCGAAGACCTGCATCGCTTATCTGAGATGAACGGAGCATCTGCCAACATGGCCCGAGAGGAGCTCCATGAGTCAGCCCTGAGGATTGAGAGCCTCACTGCCCAGCTGACAGGACTGCAGAAGGAGGTTGACATTTTTGTTTCTTACTAATGGTCTTTTAAACAATGTAAACTCCCAAGTCAACAACATCTATATCAGTGCTGGACCTAGTACACATACTAAGGTCTTAATAGGGTCTGTTAAGATAAACTCAACTCCCTGTAGGCACTGACTTACACACAGTGACGCCACACTGTTGCAAACACCTGTTTTTCTGAAGATAAAAACGTAGGCATTCCAGATTCTATGAGTGTTGGTCTTAACTCTCATTTAAATGGAACATAAAGTGCTTCCTTTAAACCATGCTGTGCACTGCAACCAATTTGTTTTTTGGGTGTGGCTGATTCTTCATTTGATTATGTTTTGTTTATTAATCAGACTGCTCACTGCTGGAATTTCAGAGCTGATAATAAATTATCTGTTAGTTATGATTACTTCTTGCACAACTGGACCATTCTCTGCTGCAGAATGGCTTGACTGCTTCTCATTATCACTGAAGGAATGTTTTGGTGGAACATTTCCATGCATGGATATGAGCACTGTCATTGAAATTCATAATTTACAGAGAGAACGAGCCTGGAAGTTGTTTCCAGTGGTAAAGGGGATTTTGAAAATGGTAACATATAGGCGTCAGAAGAAGAGGATAAAGCTGCATTAAATGCACTGCTGGCAGGCTTATAGCCACATTCTACATCTGATGAGTTAGACTACCAATACCATAACCAATATGGCAAGCCCTTTAAATATGTGTTCAGTGGTGGTAACATGTCCGTAATGTAATATTGAGTAGTAGCCAGTGTAATGAAAGATATCTTCAGTTTATTTCTTACTTGTCAACATGTTAATTCTTTATATCCACCATTAAATTCTTACTCAAGGAAACATCCCTTGTAAATATCATAGTGTTATTACAACTTTACAGGTTTTACCACTTAGTTCTACTCCAACTCATGCAAGTAATGGTTATATTTCGGATATCTACAATTCCTTTTGTGACTAAACGGAACTGTCGATATCTTCAATGATGTAGGTCTAAAATCATCCAAATAACTTCATCAGTGTTTCAGAAAGGTGGTGCTTTTTTTTTTTCTTCTTGCTATGTCAGACATTGGAAATAGGTGATGTTGGGACATATCTCACATGCATATGCACATTACGGCAACATATGCACAATAGTTTGTGGAGGTGTTGATATCTGAAAACACTAAGTTACATTTTCAATGTTTTTCAACTTGTGGAAATTAAATTTTTGAGTTCAATTATTGATATTCTTACTGGAGAAAAAGAAATCACTGCTATCTGTAATTAAACTGAAGATATTTGTAAATCAGTTTTGACTACCTGATGTAGTTTCTACATCATGTATTAATGACATTTTGACATGTCCAAATGTCATTTCCATGAGTGAAACCTAAAATACTCTTCATTAGCCACACTGATTAAATGTTGAAAGGGTTGTCATGTAATCTTACAAATGCAAAGATCTAAAGAGAACAATAAATCTTCAACTCCAGCATTTAAAGCTTTTAGCATAATGGGAATAAAGAATACATGTAGGTATTGTGAACCTATAATATCCCTAATTTAATATTTATGATGTGGAATAATTAATGTGAGTCTTTGTTTCTATTTCACAACTTGTAAGCTACAAAAAAGTGATACAACTTCAAATAATGTTGAAAAAATAGTGATTACCTAAAGCTATTGTTGTAACAAATCGACAAACAGTCTTATGGCATCATTTATCCCCCTTTTGTCCTCTGACTTAGTATGAAGACTCAGCCCCACCCTCATGCAATCAGAAAAAAAGAGAGGCAACAGTCAGTGGTTTTGAATACTGTCCCTATACCACAGTTCTGCAGACCCTTATTGGCTAAAATTCCATCATCAGAATAATGGCAATCATGGTAGAACAAAGGCAGTAATCTGTTACAACATTGCTGCACTGGTGAGGTGTGTTGTTTAAGGTAACTTACAAGGAATGAATGCTTGCATGTATTTGACAGGCCAAAATATTGCCTTGTCAAATGATGCTGAAACTGTGCAGTGACAAAATTTGAGTGTTTGTTCTCCCGGACTAGCTTGCATGTTTTTGCTGGAATGCTCCATGCTGAGGCCAAAGCTGTATCACCAGCTTTCCCAAACATACCATCTAAAATAGTGTCTCACAGGCAAATCAGCAGGTTTCTGCTTCAGATAAAATGGTTTTTAATGATTCAGTTTTGTTCTGAGACATGCGGTCAAAGCTTGTGAAATGACTAGTTTGACTTTGTGTTTGCCTGCTCTGTAACACGTGTGTGTCATTGCCATCTCATTGTTTATATTCAGACTCGTGGTTGGCGTGATCGTATATCGGAGCTGGAGGCAGCGCTGGCACAGCAAAAAGACGCAAGTCGCAGGATGCTGACTGACAAAGATCGTGAGATAGCTGAGGTCCGAGCCAAGATGCAGGAACAGCTGAATGAGTATGAACAGCTGCTGGATGTTAAACTAGCTCTGGACATGGAGATCAATGCTTACCGTAAACTTTTGGAGGGAGAAGAAGAAAGGTGAGGATCCGCAGAGTCATGATAACATCACCAAATTCTTGTTGGTTTTTTTGTTGTTTTTGTTTTGACACAACTGATGAGTGAGGAGCTTCAGTGATCACAGTATCTAGATATAACTGTGGTGTTTTCTTCCCCTAGGCTGAAGCTGTCTCCCAGCCCTTCATCTCGTGTCACAGTGTCTCGAGCCTCTTCCAGCAGTCGCAGTGTGCGGACCAGCCAGGGGAAGAGGAAGCGTATCGATGTGGAAGAACAGGAAGCCAGCAGCTCAGTGTCCATTTCTCACTCTGCTTCAGCCACAGGACCCATCTGCGTCGATGAGATCGATACTGATGGCAAGTTCATCTGTCTTCAAAACAGTGGAGATGAGGTGAGCTCCTGCCTTATTAGGTTCTGCATGCTTTTAGTCACAAATGTTTCATTTGGAAATCTGATTTAATTTTGTTATGTGACATGCATTTCTTTACTGTGTCTGTCTCAGGACCAGGCCATGGTGGGCTATGAGATGATTAAGACCATTGGAAATGCTTCAGCTACCTACAAGTTTACACCCAAATATGTCCTGAAAGCAGGCCAGAAAGTTATGGTAAGAGTTTTCCTCTCCTTCCCTTTTTTATAGCCTTCAACCTGTTACTCAGTTTAGAAATTTGGCACATTATGAATCTACTGTTCAAGTTCAACAGTGATTACAAATATATGTGATATCTGGTCTAAAATCATGCTGATCATTTCTAATTAGGAAGATTTGAGTTTAGCTTTTGATGAAACGTCAGAAAGGGTCCATTTCTTTTAAGCCTCTTAGTTGTCCAGAAGATGCCATGTTAGGATTTTAATGATGCTGTGCTTGTTCTGAGTCAGTGTGAAATTGTGTTGAATTTGAGAATAAGTGTGGGGCTTTGTGTTTGCTTTGTGTAGATTTGGGCATATGATGCTGGTGTGAGCCCCAAACCGCCTACTGACCTGGTGTGGAAGAATCAGTCCTCCTGGGGTTTAGGGGAGGATGTCCATGTGGTGCTGATCAACCCTCAAGGAGAAGTGAGACCTCACAGATAACCCATCCATCATCTTCAGCCATGCAATGATTTTTCATTAACCTACGGTGTTCTGTCTGTAGAATGTGACGACTATTTGCCATGATTTTCTGGCACCACCCAATATCCACCCCACACCTGTCCAACCTCACCCCCACAGCTCTTCATTTTTTCTGGGAAAAAATTACAGAGCTGTGTTGTTTAGTTTCTTTTGTGTCTTATAAAGTCTAAGGGTGATAATAGTTTGGATGCTGAGAGACACTAATTTTTTGTGTGTGTTTGTGTGGCAGGAGGTGGCAAAAAGAACTACTACATACAAGACAGGAGTAGAAGAAGAACAGGGTGAGGAAGATGATGATAATGGAGTCGAGGCCATTGAGGAAGAGCGCTTCCACCAGCAGGTAAGGCTTCAGCTCATTAGAGAGTTTTAGGATTTAAAGGTGGAGTACGCCTTTCTTGAGAGAAACAGATGAGATTTAAACTTAACAACCAAACATACTCCTCTGTTTTAATTGTAACACAATGAAGGTTGACAACTTCTTTATTTAAAAAAAAAATCCAGGAATTTAGACTTTCAGCACCAAATGCCTAGTGTAAATTATCCTCAAGGTTTCTGGACCTTGCAATCTAAAAGCCTTGAAATTGTCGGCAGTGCTCGAAAGACCAGAATTGTTAGCAGGATAGTACATGGAGAGCAGACAGACAATACAACAAAACAATGAACTATTTGGAGGTTGGTGAGTTCAGAAACTGCAGATCCGAAACGTGAACATCCAGAGAGAACAAGCACAGGACCTCGGGGGAAACGCAGAGGTAGTGATATGTAATGATGATGGTGATGTCGAGTCGACAGTAGTCCAGTCTAAGTTCTAAATGCATAGACTGCTTTCTTAGCATCACTCTGAGACAGGATGTTCCAGATTTCATTCACTCATTGTGTCTGACGCAGATTGAAACTGAGATTTTATTCCATCTCTCAGACGATGTGATGTGCAATTAACCAAAACCATCATCGGTCTAAAGGTTCCTTTTGGCTCCAATCAAGTTCATGTCCTACCATGTAGATGTTTGAACCTCTGTTGATCTGCATTGTAAGATGACCTGATGGTGTGTTATCAGATTTACAGAAACAGCCTGGTTGTTTCATTATGTTCATTAATGTATGTGGTGACTGTGCAGGGAGCCCCACGCACTGCCAAGGGAGGCTGTTCCATCATGTGATCCAACTGCATCAACCAGCCGCCACCACCTCCTCTGAGCCCAGCCAGTCTGCTGCCAACTGTAATACCAGAACTATTTTTCTATCTTTTTTAGTGTTTCAGCAAAGTGTATGATTTTGTTACATTTCTTTGATCAATAAAAATGCAAACCCGTTTTTTGTAGACAGTTTCATCTTAAAAACCAAAATGTTATTGGTCAGCATTGGTGTTGGTAGTTCATAAGCTCTTTTCTTTCTTGAAACCAAGCAGCAAGTAGCAATATCTTCAAGATTGAATTAAATTTTTCATGTCATATTTTCTTATTTCTATTATTTTATTATTATTATGGTTGTTGTTGTTATTATTGATGATGATAATGATTATGATAATATATTTTAGGTCTCTAAAGTTCCAAGAAAAGCCACAAGATGTCAGTGATTAGTTTAGATAAGGGTGGGTTTAGGTCAGTGTTTGAATTAGCTGAGAATGTACTGTATGGTTAAATGAAGAGTACACTAAAAGCTGTGTGGTAACAGGAGCTAATGTAATACATGACTTCCTACCAGCAGTCTGGACCTTGTCAGGACAAAATTTTACAAGGAATTCTCTGTTCAGTGTAGAGTAGATTAGAAAAAACTCAAAACTATCATGATTGTATTCATGAGTAAGTCAGAGGACAGTTTGTTGCAGTTGTTGAGTTACCTGAAGACCCCTGTGTGAAGCGTAGGATTAAAACGAGCTTTGGCAATTCCTGATGGTAGTATCTACCATCTAGTAAAAGATCTGATTTGAGACACTACAAAATGGAACTGTTCCTGTTTTCAGCAGGCCATCTAATTTTCTTGGGAATTGGAATAATTTGACAAATGTTACATCACTGTCTACACACATAGGTCTTTAATGTGAGGTCATGCTGCACATTTGAGTTTCTCTTTGCTGACTTTTAAACAAGCGTTGCACCACTAATCAAGAAGTGTTGATTGTATTCTTAACTTTTGATATTTGAATTGTTTGAAGTTGTTTTTGTGTTGCTGTGCATGCTATAGCTGTAATCTTTATAGCTGAATGAATAAATGTTTTTCTTTTACTTGTTGTCCTTTCTTTAATTCATTTTTCCATTGGTGTTCCGTAGAGACAGGAACAGGCAGAGAGAACTTGACATGGGAACAGAAAACACAAATATATATAATAATGGTGGCCAGTGAGCAGCTGTCTTGCTCGACTGATGCGGTTGGTCAGGAAGCTTTCAGTGGATTCAAGGCCTTTATTGGTCCCAAATGCAGTGAAATATGTTGTGCACCTGTTTCACACCGAAACAATAGCAACAAGAATAAAACACAATAAATAAATCTATATATGAGAGATAACATAAGCAAAAATAAATCAAATTGTCAAACAATGCAAAAATAAAATAATGTTATTTGTATGTATATAGACAGGTGAAAAGTAACCAGTTGGATTGTTTGAGTCGACTGTATCAGGTTCAGCAGGCAGACAATCTGAGGGAAGAAGCTCCTCCTCATCCCAAACAGTCTGCTAGGACTTGAGTGACAATGGCCTGTTGGTTTTCAACAACCTCTGAAAGTGCTTCTCAGTGACCTGGCAAACAGCTTGAATGCTGGCAGATGGTTTTTGCAGGTCACCTCTGCTCTTTAACTCCAGAAAAGGATGTGTGGAGTCCA